TAATAATAATAGTAATAGTAATAATAACAATCTTATTAGAATGGAGATAAGCCTGTGTGTGAGGTCAGTATACATTTTTTACACAGGTGCACATAAAATCTACAAAAACATTAGGATTCCGTTAAAAAAAATTGTCCCAAAGGGTTACGTGGGCATGTCTTCAAAGATCGGAACTGCCTTTTCATTTTTCAGGTTTTATGGTTTTTTTCCTGTAAATCGAAGCTCTCAGATGTTTTCTCTCTGCCGCCCATTAGCCATTTCATATTTTACTGGGGACTAGATCAACTTCCGTTTTCGGTTTGTGCTTCGTCGTGTGTGTGAGACAGCTACTACATGTACACGTAGTTCCAGATCTAGAATCTCGATGTTCAACTCTGTCTGGATGTGTGCTTGGCAGTGTTGATGGATACTTAAGGCCAAACTTCATTTTATTGACTTTTTCTAGATACATTATTTTGTGTAGTCATGTCCCCAACTCATTGAGTTCGTTTAAACCCACAAAATGTTTACTTCGTTGTATTGGCGTTTTCAAAATTTGGCGCGTTTTAAAATTTGGTACGCGGTTCTTTTTATAGAGCAAGACTCTAGATCTAGATCTCTCTATAACCTAGATTTATTTGGAGGACAGAATTCAAGACTGATTTGGAGTAGTTAGCAAGAAATGTCAGTCTAGATCGAGATCTGTTCAGAGTAAAGATGCCCAAGGAATATTGGTTAATAATGTAGTAAGATGCCTCCCTGAACGTAGAGTTTGTTTGATTCCACGAAACTGAGGTGAAAGCCCGAGGAAACAGAGAAAGGCGACTATCAATATTAGTCACAATCTTGCTATGAAATGGCTAATGGCAGAGTGAAAACATCTGAGAGCTTCGATATTAAGGAAAAGCCACCAAAACTTGAAAAATCTAAAGGTAGTTTCCGAACTTTGAAAATACGCCCCCGTAATCCTTTGTGATAATCAGTGATAATTCTTAACTGAATCATATTTTTGTAGATTTTATGGGCACCTGTGTTAAAAAAAATGTATACTGACCTCACTAACGGGCTTAGCTCCATAATAATAATAATGATAATAATAATA